TAAGTAATAATATTCTATTCCTTAGTAAGGTCGTTGTTAGGTACTGCCTAGCGAATAATATTTAACTGTTAAGTCACCTTGCTTTAGCTTCAGCAGTCCTAAGCTATGTAACCTTCCTTGCTACAGGCATAGCAAGAGAACTTCTTCTTGCTATTCTTATTGTGTAGAAACTTCGGCTTTCTAGATCCCTTGTTAAGGTTGTCGAGGTGTATAGGCTTAGGTCTGTTAGTCTTGTAGTAGCCTGCGATCTAGGGCGCGTAGCTTTGCTAACGTCTCTAATTAGGGTACGAACGTTAAGGGTTTTGACGTGCTCAGTTGTTCGTATTCTAGGGTGCGCGATTCCCGTTAGTGTATAGGCGTTCTTCTAGCATCAGCTTATAGAGTTCGTTGTCTACTTGAATAGCCTCGGCTATAAGTTCGTTGAGCGTATTGAGGCTAGATCTACTTCTTATAAGTTCTATGCGTACAGCTAGCTTAAGACCTTGTTAGTACATCCGCATTAAAGCGTTGTCGTCCTATTTGATTAGCGTCTAGTACTGCTAGAATTTAGTTGTGTAGTTGGCGGCAGATCTAATTTGTTGTAATTTCTAGATTTTCTGCTTAGCGATTACAGACTCCTTAAAAAGTGAGAATACTTTTTGCATCTTAATTTTAAAGGCATCCTAGTCTTTAACTAGGTGCTTGTTAACATTATTATTAACGTTGCTGTCTATGTAGCGACAGATAATTAGGCTAGCCTATTTCTTAGCGTTGCTGCGGAGAAAGGAGGTAGCCTACACGACTATGTTGTAGTCCTCGATCTTGTCTCCTTTAAGATAGAAGTATCAGTCTACCTAGAGTAGCTATGCCTCTAGCTTAGCACGATTACTATTGTAGGTGTTAGGCTTGTTGCTTTAGCTTAAGGTTCCTCTAGTAACCTAGGAATTAGCAAGGGTGTCTATTGCGGTGTTACTTATCTTAAGGGTGTTCAAAGTGTAAAGGTTATCCTTAGATAACCTAAGAGTTAGTTCTTAAGGAATAAGTAAGTGCGATAGACAGAGTTAGTGTAATAGCACGATTAGTAGATCGATGTAATATTATAAGAGGTTGTATAAAAACGAAGTATAATCCTTAGATTAAATACTAGAGTCTTGTACAAAGTTAAACACACTAAGCTATAAGGGTTTAGTGTCTAAGCTATATACTAATAAGTGTTGCGCTTAGTACTAAGCGTGTAAGTGCTCGTTACTAAGCGATACAGTGTTAGGTTTAGTTATTAGCTAACTAGTCCTGCTTACTGCTAAGCACCTGTTCTTAGTCTAGCGTGTACTTGCTTACTACTAAGCAGTTACGTGACTACAGCGTAGTTGCTGTGCCGCAATCCTTTAACTATGCCGCTTAATCCTCTAAAGTAATTACGCTTACCCCTGTCTCCTCTTAGGTGCAGATCGTAACAAGAGTCTAAGATATTAAAGAGAACATGTTCTAAGCTAAGCTAGGCTAAGGCGGGTACAGGCCTCCCTAACAAAGCAACATTAGAGAACTAATAGAAGACGTCTAGACCTGCCTCTATAAAATAAAGATAAGAAGTAACAACTCTAAGAGAGCAGCAAGATAGGTTAGCAGGGAAGTCCTGTAGTAGCAGAGAGAGGAGAGACTATACTTACGCTACAGGAAAAAAGGCTATATAGCTAAAGACTATAACCTTAGCCGCGCTATAAGACTAGCTTAGCTCTACGCTACCTCTGCTAAGACAACTAGCAGAGAGTAAAACTTAGAATTAGAGGAGCTTAGGTTAGAAAACTAAGCTCTCTTCTCTAAAGTCCTAAGGAAGAGGAGGATAACAGCTAAGCTCCTATAACTAAGTTCTAGAACTTTTAGAGGAGTTAGCTTAATAGAAAACTAATTACTATCTAAACACTAGTAAACTGCACTACGCTTAGGTCTGCTATAGTAGATAGCAGATACTTAACCTTT